TGCAATGTTATGGGAGAAAACCCCATAAACAGAATTAGGAACTTATTTCTAAGAGTGCATGTGAAAAATATCCACAAACTTACAGTACAGCAAGAGAAAACTAAAAAGCTAGAAATATAATGTTACATAAAAACCTTATGGAAATCCCAAAATTTTAGGTTTCTGCAATAAATGTAAAAATATTCAAGGTGTCATTATTTGGCCTAGCAATATACTATGATAAAAAGAAACACTAGCGTATCACAGCTTCTTGGTCATATGACATTTGCTTTGTATAACAAGCAGCTTGTTTTTTTTGTATTTGTTTTTGTTTTGTTTTTTTTAAAAGCTGTCATATCCTAACACATCCATTGCAAGTAATACACAATCATGGTAGGAAACCATTTGAGATTATGCTTTGGAGAATAGCAATGTGATATGACTGTTCAGTTTTGTTTTGTTCAAGGAGAATTAATTACCTGCTTCTTTACATTATTCCATAAAACATTAACAGATTAGGAGACAGTGGTTCTCAGACTAGTACAACACTAGTCTATAAATTCCAAAATAATACTGTATTTTATTGACCAAAAATTCCACTAATAAAGCCTGTGTGATACTAGAACTTATTCTTCCTTAAAAACAAAACAAAAAACACATGCCATAATGCAATTCACAGCTGAAATTTCCCTCTATGCCATATTTTACCTACGTGATCTTGTAATGGTATTCAGAAATACTATCAAACTAATAAGATTAAAATCTGGTTTCAAAGTTTCCTTTTACTTTAAACAGATGAGCTGAAATTCTCTGTATTGGAAATTCCTCTAACAGTTTTGCTGTAAGAACACGAAGATGTATTATATAGTACTCAAATTTAAGTGGTTTTTAAAAATACATAATAGAAGTGTTTGTAGAGCTACAGCAGCTAACCAACACTCTCTCAATGCATTTTAAAAAGGCACCAATATAAAGAAATTTTATAAGTATTTAATACGTTAAATTCAGGATCTTAAGATACCAGTTACTGTATATTTTAATTATTTTGCAGAAACTGGAGGTTTAAAAACATTTCTAAGATAACTCTCATATATACAAACTTCAATTTCACCCCTACTCTTTTTTTCTTTTGCGTTTGGGGATTTTTTTTTTTTTTTTTTTTTGTGATAATCGCATACAGATAGTACTTACTAAAACAATATATAAAATATAACTAAAGTTGACCACATATGTAACATATCCCTTTTTGTAAAATGAACATTTCAAAGTAAAAAAAAGACAATAATGTAGCCAGTACCTCTTATAATCTAAGTTCTGTCTTGAAACTAGGGGCATGCAGATTTTTGTTTATATTTTTGCAGTCTTTTCTGTTCTTTTTCTACTTTACGGAATCATTTTGGAGATAGGATGAAATAACATTTGGAGAATAAAACATGATTTTCATCTAGATGCTTTCACTAATGTATATTTTGTCAAACCTTTATAACATATAAAGACTTCATAGTTTTGTGAGGTGTAGAACTGATACACAATAACTATAAATAAAAACAACATCAAGCTCACTAAAATATTCTGGTCTTTCTCCATTTGCCAACAAGTAAAAGTTAATCATTTTTCTTTTCTGTATCTTCCTATTTAAAAGTTATTTGTGTTTCTTTCACTTTGGAAGTTATACCAAATCAGCTTATAGATCTTTTTGTTTGTTTTGATTTTTTCTGGAAATAGATTGTAAAGACCCAAGGTTTAATAGTTGAACTAGTCCTAAAGACACACTAATAACTTCTTTAATATTTGTTACTACAATCAGGTAAATTTCCTAAATTGCTCAGGTGTTAATTATAATTTTAATTCTTTATGTGCTATTGCAACACGTGGTCACTAATTGCTCCTTTTCATGACTTTTCTTTAAGAGTGTGTACGTGTGTACAAACATACACTGTTGCACACCTACAATTGCTTGTACGTTTGTAGGAAAGACATTCCCTACTTTGTAGCCAAATCTAAATCCCGGTCTCTCATTTTCCCATTTTGTCCCACCAGAAAATTCTCAACGGAATGTTTTAACAACTTGAAATCTCTTCCAATCTGCTTATTGGTCATTTTCACTGTTCTAAAAAGCCAGACTAGAATGGCTTTTTAAAAGTGATTGACCACTATTAGTGAGAGGCAGCACACATCTCCAACAGGAACTGGAGATAAATTTCTGGGCAAAATTAGGGCAAAGCAATGTGATGAATTTCTGAATTTTTGCCAAACTAGAAAAGAGAGGCTAACCCATTTTCATGCCCCTCAAGTACTCTGTAATGTGAAATCTCACCTAAATAAACTGGGCATATAACTGTTATGTAAAACTTGATTTATTTGGTGTCTGACTCTCATTATTTTTAGGCCCTAACAACTTGCATATTTCCTTTTGTGAAGAAGGAGGCATGCAAATATAGCCATTCAGAGTTTCCCAGAAAGCACTGTGCCCACAAAAATTCTTTCTAACCTGTACATTTGAACTGACCTCGTCCTCATTTGTTCCTGCCACACCCTGAGCCATCTTTACCTCTTTCTGTTCCTCATATCGTGAAGCTAAGAAAGTACAAGTATACACTTGTAGCAAATACACTCTCACAAATATTCAGTGCCTTCCATAAAATAGATTTCCAAAGAGATGGAATGAGAAACAGAGTGTACATTAGTACTGTCGTCAGGGGGGTACTATACAACTCTTTAGGTCCACCTAAAATTCAGCTTCATCCCAGGGCAGTTAGGTACATGATTATTCATATACTGAAGAAAATTCCTAGATGATGCCAGCAGAGATCCACACACAGCCAAAGTGATGAACATATTATCTGCCATCCAAATGCTTCCTTAAATCGCAGTAAGACACAAAATCAGTAACCTTAAATTATTTACCTTCCTCCAAAAAGGAAAAAAATATATGAAATTCCAATTTTCTTGAGTGGTTAGGGTAGGGGCAGTAAGGGAGTCTCAAAAACATGCTTTACTTTTGGACATATTGTATGTTCACAAAGTACCAAAGCATGCAGGGGGGAAAAAAAGTTGACATTCTATTTAAAACATTTCATGTCTCTGTTTTGGTGCATTCTCTTTGATTTAAAGGAACAGTTTGGACATTTCTCCAAAAATAATTACAAGAGGGGCCAGTAAAGGAGAGCTGAGTTATAATCATTTTTGCCTAGCTCTAAGCTGTGTTAGTGCGTAGAAGTCGCTTAAATCAGCAGATGATAAATGAGAAAATGAGTAAAGAGCAGTATTGGGGCCAGGTTTGCTTCTCTGTCCATACATCTCTAATCTTGCTAGTTCTCACAGCATCTGTATTAAGAAACATAGTTTTGGCATCCTATTTAATGATTTTTTTTAGAGCAGTTATCAGTTACTGCTTAACTGAATCAGTATTCAGAAATGGCTATTAGATATTCCAGTCATGGACAGGACTGTCCTCCCTCAACACAAGCAGCATGTTCTGCATCCAAGTGTGTCTCCCCCCTCCCCCCCAAAATGACTTGATCTCATCTGGTTCCTCCCCTCTAATGCTGTTGGACTGCAGAGAAAAAATAGCACCCTTATAAATGAAATAAAAAATTTGCACATGAAAAATGGAAACATATGCATGGATTAAAAGAAGAGAAAATTTTTACTAAGGGATTGAGAGATTCATTTCTGACAAGGACTTATAAATAGTTGAATGTTTTTAAGACAGAAAAATGTGCAGGACATGGTGACTTTCACTTGGAGGTTAGGTTACATTCTAGACTCCAAGTAGGGTAAAAATAAGCTTTGTTTTTTGTTTATCTGTAGTCTATTGTACAAGTTACAAAGAAGTTCCCTTTTCCATGCACCAAAAGTGGTAAATATTATTATTGAAGGAATACCCTAGTATAAATAGAATAAATAGCCCTAGTTCCATAACCTTACGGGGTTCAAGTTACCACATTCAGGTGGAATTAGTAATTGCTTTGAGATTTGGAAAGCAAAAACCTATAGCAAGATTTTTGTGATCTCCCACTCAAATAGTAAAAGATGATGGACTATAGATAGAACACTGGGTGGTCACAGCTTGAAATAACCAGTGAAGAGAGACATACCAGAAAAGGGATTTCTGAGTGGGTCCCCCCCCCCCACTGTTAGCCTAATTATATTTTTCTGCTGACTGGTTAACACTGATTAAATGCTGATAAAGTGACAATCGTAAGCATACTTTTAGAAACAAATACGCATACTATGCTGCCATCACATTATAACTTTAAAAGAAAACTTCCCAAACAAATTTATGAAAAGTAGAGGTCCTTTCTGGAAACTACTGACTGCCTCTTAGCCACTCTTAGACCATATGTTATTCTTAAAACTAGATAAAAATACTATTCATTAAAGGTGTTAAAAGTAAGGCTGCCAGGGTGTCTATAAAATGCCAGTCATCAAAACTATGGAAAACAGTGCTTAAGTTTAGAAAAATAAGATCATAGGACCTCAGATGTATTGCAGGTGTCCTTAACTACCTGTAGTTCAAAATTTTTGCTATATGGTACAGTGTATAACATACCGTATTATAAATTCCATTGGGGAAGTAAACATAGAACCCACAACTCATCCAAGGAGTTTATCACTGAAAGTAACAATGTGTTTGTGTTCCATGATCTCTAGAGGGGGAAAAAAAAACAATTTACATTTTGAAACAAAATTCTTCCTTGAAGAGTAAAATTACTTATACCACTTTAAACTGAGAAAGTTCTACCCAGAAAACTCTAAACTTTCCTGGCTTCAATCATAATCCTGAACATCAGTGGCAAATTAGAATCTCTCAGGTGAATCTATATGAATCAAGTGATTTTTTTTCAAAGCATGATATACCTTATATTTATGCGTGGCAGAAATGGAACTGCTCTTAAATTCCCACAAAATAAACGAGCCAAGTTATCAAGAAACAATATCCCTTGTCCCTTCTCTCTTCTGTTTCTTCCTTATTGTAATTAGGCAGAGCAAATGACACTGCGTCCACAAAATAAGAATTAATGACAGTAATAATATTAAACAACTAAAAAAGGTATGTCAACATCTGAGGGAAGGTGGGATTGTAAGTGCAGTATTTCTTCATGTGCAGTTCGTTACTTCATAGGGGTCCCCTTTGGAATGAAAAGGCCTAATGGAATGTGTGCTCCCCTCGAACAATGTGTGATGAAAACTCGTAACGGTCCTGGCTTCTGTAGCCACAGATGTTGCATTCCAGTGGGTCCCGGTAGCCATGGCAACCCATGTGAATGGTGTACATGACATGGTCTAGGAAAAGGACTCGGCAGTGCTCACACTTGAAGGCCCTAATCTGTTCTCCTTCTCCATTGAAGACCTTGTAGATGTCCTTCAGAGAGCCCTTAGGAGCCTTGGTGGTATCCAAAGCCTTGACATCCTCCTTCATGTAAGCTGGGCTTTGTTTCCTCTTGGGATTTAAGGCAGGGTTTCCTTGGTAGGACTGGTGGTCATCATGGCTGCTTTCTGAGTCAGTAGAATCCAGGCAGCTATTGCTGGGCGAGGCCTCTCTTTCCTGGGGTCGACTCTTTGGTCTGATGAGAGAGAGAGGACCATCCATGTTGTTTTCATGACTATCGGAGGTTTCCCTGCTAATGGGTCTTTCTATCCTATTTGGATGATAGACCTGAGAATAAGCTGAGCTTATAACTGGGGCCACCTCAGCGATTGTGCTTGGCGGGTGCTGCATCAGTGGGTGAAGGGCCTCAGCTCCAAGGTAGGTGATTGCATTGTTGATGGCTTGGTCCATCATATGAGACTGCATTAGCTCAGCCTCCTTCTCATATGTTAAGTTCATATCAAAGTGAATGTCTGGGTAGCTGAATCGCATGAGCTTTTCCCCTGAAAGGAGGCGGGCGAGAAAAGTAAAACAAAATACAACAAAATTAGTGATTGGATTAAAATATAAATGTACAAAGTTAATCGTCTCCATTTTCTATAATATGATAATCTTATTCTTTAGATCAAGCATTGGGGCTCTTTAATTCTGCTGAGACTCACAAATACTCTCAACCTGCAAAGAGGATTAGTAATAAGAATTTCACAAGCCATTTGCACTTGTTTTAATGCCATCATGAAAATGCATCTAGGCTGAAAGGTATGATTGACTGTATTATTTTCATTCTCAATTAAAATTTCCACTTGTCTACAGCTCAGCGACTATAGGCAAAAGAAGAAATACCAGGTGAAAATAAGTCAGAGACTATGCCTGTTTTGCATATTTTCGACATCAGTGACCAAGCCACAAAGATCACAAAAGCGAGAGTGATCTGCTTATAACCTCTGTCACCTCACTGTTATATAGGGTTAATTTGGTTGCTTTAATGGCTACATTAGAAAAAAAATTATAAAGCCAGTATATGTCACCCTGGAGAATTAAAAAAACATCACCATTAAAATATTGTTAAAAGATGTATTGTTTGGGGGTGTCTGGGTGGCTCAGTTGGTTAAGAGTCTGACTCCTGATTTCGGCTCAAGTCATGATCTCAGGGTCATGAGATGGAGCCCCAGGTCGGGCTCTGTGCTGGGCATGGAGCCTGCTTAAGATTCTCTCTCTCCCTCTCCCTCTGCCCCCTCCCCACCCACTTGTGTTTGAGTTCTCTGTCTCTCTCTCTCTCTCAAAAAAAAAAAAAAAGGCTGTATTGTTTGATAAATTGAATGAAATTTAGGACTGTTTAAATATAGGAGTCATTTCCAAAAGTAGTTTATTCATAAACTTGGAAAATACTATATTTTGTTGTTTTGCTTCTTGAAATGGAGAATTAATCATTTTTACACCACCCCTTCCTTATTCAGACATATGGGCAATGGTGCTGGTATGTACATCCATTGTTAATTTTCTATACTTTATCTTGATTGAAGGATTTCTGTAGTTTTCCCTTTAATATTTACTTCAACAAAGTTATATTTTACTTCAGGATTAGCCATGAAAGAGTTCTGTGCATAAAGCAGGAGAAGTAATTTTAATTTTTCTCCTTTAAATATTGCCAGCTTTGGACAGCATATTTTATCTTTTTAAAATTCTGTCACTAAATGCGGTCTCCTACTAATTGCCTGGTTACTTTGACAGGTAAATCTCACAGATAAAGACTTCTTAAAAAATATGTGGACTTCTTATAAATGTTTAGTATGTTGTTATAGATGGATGCCTAATTTGTAATGTTGATGAAAAAACGCTGATCCACAGAACTGCATTCTGGAAAAGCACTTCAGGTTTGAAGAGAGGTCCCCAAAGTGAGATCAGGGTAATGATCAGAGTAATGAAGAAAAAAATGATGAGACCTTATCTCATGGCATTCAATTTAAGATATCACAATGTTAAGAGTTTAAAAGTTGAGCTAGACAAACCTAATCTACATTCTCTAAGCTTACAGTTTACAGGGAGTGACAGCAATTTAGGGATCATTATTAATACAGTGTGATATATGCTATGAGGTCAAATAAAAGGAATATATAATTAGGGGAGTAAAGAAGACTTCTTGAAGAAAGTGGCATCAGAGATATTTGATGACAAATACTAGCTAAGTAAAGGAATGTGGGAGTGGAGCAGCAGGTAGGAAGGCTCAGAGGCAAGAGGGCATGACTTGTTCAAGGGATTACTTACATTTCACTATATAGCTGAAAGTGGAAATAGATGAGAAAGATGGAAAAGATAATAAAAGGGCTCATTCAACAGCTAAGGAATTGGAATTTTATCCCAAGGGCAATAAGGATTAAAAGGGTTAAACAGGGATGTGACTTGATTAGGTATTTATTGAGATGGTTTAGGAAGTTACTGCCATAAAGATCATGGTGGCCTGAATTAGTACAGTGGCAGTGGAAATGGAGAAAACTGGATGGAATGGAGAGAAATTTAGAAAATATAGTTTCCAGGGCTTGGTGATTATAGACATGGTGATTATAGACATGGTGACATAGAACATGAGTAAGAGAAAGAAGTTAAACATGGAGCCCAAGTTTCTGGCCTAGGAGACTTAGTGGATGGCAATGAGATAGAAAAGATGATGAGTTCACGTTGGGAAAGACTGAGTAATAGTCATGGTCCAGTAACTACCAAAATATAGTCTCAAATTTTGGAGAGAGACCTCTACTTGAGATGTAGATATCTAAGTTGTGGTTGATAGAAACTGACTTCTGAAGCCACAAGAATAGAAGATATAACCCAGGCACAGGTAAAGTGTGAAGAAGAGAAGGTCAAAAATAGAACCTGGAAGAACACCAAGATTTTTAATGCCTGCCCACGGATCAAGGCAAGTTGGATTCTTGCACTGGGCCCCATGTTTACAGAGTTTTTTGCTCCTCATGGAATAAGGAATGTATATAGCCAAGGGAATGTGCCTATCTGGAGATTACTCCCTAGACCATACTCTGGATACCCAGGACCCCAGAATTCCTTGACCAAATGGCACTGAGCTTGCATCAAGGGTTAGCACAGTCCTCATCAAAGGGTCTATCCTCCTGAGTACCAATTTGTGCTGCTGGTATTCACACACTTAGGCCTGAGGAGTGGCCAACACACTACTCTTTATGTGCTATGTGTGGGGTCTAGAATGTGTAGGCTGAAGTGTCTACATACATGGGCATGAAGCCCCTTTGGTACTGGACAGAACCAGAGGTAGCTCTAAGAGAGGCCTGGCTTCAGGTCAGGCAGTTCTGCTCATGCTATCAAGGTCTGGTGTGGAACTCTAAGGAATCTGAGGATTCTATATTTATTTGAACTCAATCTTCCAAGTTAGGAAGGTAGAACACAATAGTTTTTCAGCTTGATTTAAAATATTAAAATATTTAGGCACACGAATGGAGGCCTCCATTAGTACTTTTGCTCCATTTGCATAGCTGTTAAGGGTAAATTCATAATGAAGATTGAGAAGGAGCAAAGAAGCTAGAAGAAATGCAAGAGAGATCAATGTCATGGACACCAAGGAAAGAAGTGTTTCAAAAGGAATTAATTATTCAAGAGTGGCAAATGCTCTCTAGGAGTTGTGTAAGATAGTCTAAAAAGGGTCCACTGCACCTGGCACTATGGAAGCTAGTGGTGACCTCAATGAGGAAGAAAGCCAGGTTGCATAGACTGGGGAATAAGTAGAAAGAAAGAAATTATGGAAAGCAAGCATAGGGAACTCTTTCAACAACTCCATTTTTTAAGAGAAGGAAAAAGTAGGTAGTAGCTAGAAGGAGACTTGGGTTTAAGGGAAGATTTTTTTTTTTTAATGATGAGAATTTATCATATTACATATGAAAAGGAAAATGCCAAGAGAGGGGAGAGGTTGAAAATATAAGTGAGAAAAAGGAATAACAATGTAAGGTATTTGGGGGACTGGGATAGGAGAATTCCAGAGCACAAGAAGAGGAATTAACCTTAATTAGAAAGAGGGATACTTCTTTCATTCAAACAAAGAGGAAAAAAAGAAAGTATTCATATAAATAAACATAATCTTTATAAGATTAGTGCTATTATTGAAATTATTTTGACTGATTTTAATCCCTGTAAACTGAGATATAATACCATCAAGGAGTGAGATACAATGTTTGTGGAGAATGAAGAAATGTTGAAATGGCTACAGGGCCGAGTAGGAGAGAGGACTGTTGAAGAATGGATTAAAGGAGGACTGCTACATACATTGATGGAACAACTGATACTGGAGATCACTTATTCATTAATTTACAGTGACACCAATTTGTAAGGCTGTGGGGTTTTCTCCACAAGTACTCTTAGTCCTGTCGATATGAGAAAGATGCTCCTCTTTTCACTAGAGAGTGGAGTTTCACCAGGAGGAGGTGATAGAAAGGCAACAAAGTAAGAGAGTCAAGAATATTGTCAAGAGAGTGGTAAAAGTGATTAACCATGGAATCTAAGCTGGATAAGAAAAAGAAAGGAGGACACAAAAAGATATGCAGAAAGTTCAGGGATCATTGGTCTGGAAGACTTGATAAGGTCAAAGAATAGTATTTAACTGAGGAACATGGTAAAAAGGAATTTATAAAAAAAAAATCATAGAGACAGTGTGTGATTATTTTTTATATTTTACTAGAAAGGATAATCCAAATAAAAAATACCATTAAATTCCTAATAAAAATCTAATGTCATTTTATTTTTTTTTAGAAATTTTTAAAAATCAAAATGTAATTTAAAAAAATCTGTCCCTCTTTTCTAAGGAATGTGATCAAATCAAATTGAGACTAGTATCTCTAAGTCATAGGAAACAAAAATATTTCAAAGAACAGAACTAAATAGATTCAGAAGACATAAAGACATATTTTCCCAACAATACTAGTATCTAGTTGGGATATAGGCATTTTAATGGACATCCATCAAATTGATCAATTTAAAAAATAGATGAGATGGCATTTAAAAAATATTTATAAAAAGGAAGAGAGAAAGCAGAAAGAAAAGTTACTTAGGGCCCAAGGCAGGCCTTTGAGTATTCTTGCAGGGGCTTTAAGTTGACCTAGGATCAACTGTGATCTCTTAGGGCTGTTCTCTAGCCTTTTTTCCAATGAGCTCTGTAAATAACTCTCTCCAGCTTGTCTTAAAATGATATTTTGGTCATTAGTTAGTTCTTCAATTTTAGATTGGAAGGAAATCTTCTCTAAGTGATTACTGGAGTAAAAGAACTTTATTAGCCTTTCCTCCCTGAAATAACCAAAGAGAATATATTCTCCCATTCACCACTCAACACATAGTGGGATGTTCTGCAATCCTCTTTGACAGTAGAATGTGTGAATCTATTTGAAAATCTTTCTCTTCTAATTTTTACCCTATATGAAGTCTGTAAGAATAGATATATTACATATATAATTAATGGCAATTCCTTATACAGAATCACTATTTTTAGACATTCTTAAAAAACTTGGATGCTTTTTGCATCCTTAGAGACACTTTATGACTTACAGTGTACAGAATGGTGCCAACTCTGTATTAAAGAATATCTAAGGGCTTGGAAATGAAAAAGAAAACTCTAAATACATCATATTTAATCTTTTTGTTTCAAAACCACAGGCCAGATGAAAACAAAGATCCACATATGAAAGATAGATCCAAATATGAAGGCTCTTGAATGTAGGTTGCTGCATTATTTTTCTAATGAAGAATTTGGGGGAAAAGATATCTCTTAATTCCAGATCAAATAGCAAAAGCATTAATACCATGTAAAGAAAAGAGTTTAAAGACCTGGCACTAATGGAAACTGGAAAACAGATTACAAAACTAGCTTATAGATGACACCATTTTCCTTAAGTATTTTCATTTTGTACATAAATGAACATTTTATTTTATATACTATACTTTCTATATAATTTCATTTTGAGATAGCAAATTTTATCAGTCTTTTTTTATTTCCTAGGCCCATATACCTAAGGGTGTGTGTGTAAGTGTGGTACCCATGGAACAGCATAAAGTAGGAATGAATAATGGACAAAAGAGATGGGTATTTATCTCTTGCATTGAAATATACCATCTATGTCTCTAATACATGGGAACCTACTTCTGCTCGTTAAAACCACCTTTTAAGAAGTAAAATAATTTGTAATGCTTACCCACAAACTTTTGTGGAGTGGAGCTTTTACGTTTTCCCATATTCCCTGTGAGCTTCTCTATGACAGCAGGTCTCTCAAAAGGCACCAGAGAAATATTGTTGTCCATGATAGGCTCTTGTTCCTTACAATCTTCCATAGGAGGTACTATGCAAAACCATACAAAAAATGCAATCTGATAATTTCTTAAACATTTTAAAAGATACAAAGCTGGATGTGCCACCTTGATATGTGTTAAACATTAGTATGCTTGAATAAAAGTAGAAAGAATAATCTTTAGTGTTAAAGTACTCTCTCTAATTTTACACACACAAACACACGATTTGTTTTTATCCAAGTTACTCTCAGATCAATGACATAAACTGTTGGTCACTATTGGTGGCAAACATGTTGATCTTGTTTCTCATCTTACTCCTCTGAAAGTGTTTTTAACATTGATTAAAATCAATATCACTTTTAGACTGCACTATTTTCAAGGCTTTTGGACTTTCTTTTTCTAAAACAATTTAAGTCAACTTGTTTTGCAGGAAAGCTTAAACAGACACACGGAATAACAGCATGATATTTAACCAGTTTTTTTTTCACCCGTGTATTTTCCTGTAGCAGATTTTCTACTGATGAGCGGAGTGAGCTGTTAGCCCTATTGGCAGTAGATAAATACCTGCATAAAGCAGCCTTCATGAAGGAGTTCCAATTCTGAACATGTCTACACATAATAAACTGTGGCCGCTTTATGATTGCAATTTATTTTAAAAAGAGTTCTTCAGCAGGATAAAAAATTCCATTTCATAACTGGCATATTTGCTCACTAAACTACTGCTCTAATTCACTTGACATAAACTCTCCAAAGCTGCTCCCTCTTCATCCCATTTGTCTAAATTGCTGTGGGCTAACAGATTAGCTCAGAGATATTGACATTAGATATGGACATTCACAGTACAGACAAAGAACTTATCAAAGTTGTTTTTGAGTAAAAATAATGTCCAAGGATGTTTATGGATACGGTAACATCTGAGGCAGATGAGATCAATGACTGAAGCCAATGTTCACAGGAAAGACCATAACTTGTTCGTGATTATCACTGCTTTCTCTAAATTGTACCTGTGCCAGTCCTGTTTGGGAACCTAAAGGTTTCATATATTAGGCTATCTTGTTCCGCATATACTGTAAAATGATGTATTCTGCTCCTTTCATTTGTAAAGGATAGTTCCACTGTGTGAAACACAATACATTCTCATTTATAAGGGCGGACACTAAAATAAAATGAGAAAGCAGGAGATGAAAGTTAAGAACATCCAGTGCACAATTCAGGTGACCTACTTAATAACCAATACAGGTTGCTGATTTTGAAGAAATGAAAAATGGCAACAGAAAAATGTTTTCCTAATTTGGACATGTTTAAAGAAATTGATATTCAATCTAAGTTTTGAGTTAACCTCGTCCTGTACAGTCCAGTGGATGGGCCAGAAAAATTTACTTTTCAATGTCTATAAGATATGGCTACGATTGACAAGAGATGCCGTAATCACTGGATTTTAATTTGGAAGGAAGTTAGGAGTTTCAGAAACAAGGAAACAGGTCATTTTCTATAGCGATATACTCCATGATATCATCAAGTGGAAAAATATATATCCCAAGATGTTACATAAAACATTATGTCCTCTTTCAGCAACAACTAAAGTAAAAACACGTACTTGAAAAGCAAAGAAAGGCTGACCAAAAAATTCAAACAAGGGTGGTCAGGAGGACGGAAGGGCAGTGGAGAATGGATGGGGTTAGGAACCATTAATTAGATACAGATTATTGTCAAAATCTTAGCAACAACTAAAGTAAAAACACGTACTTAAAAAGAAAAGCAAAGAAAGGCTGACCAAAATATTCAAACAAGGGTGGTCAGGAGGACGGAAGGGCAGTGGAGAATGGATGGGGTTAGGAACCATTAATTAGATACAGATTATTGTCAAAATCTTAACTTTTGTTTTGGGTGGTGGATTTATAGGCACTTACTACATTATTAAACTTAACTATAAAGCTAAAAAACAGGCCATGTATGGACTGAAGATGAAATGAAGTCACAAACCAGGATCCAAAATGAAAGAAGGGAAGAAAAAAAGGTTTGTTGTTGTAAATTTTGCTAAAAAAACAGCAAAACTGGTTAACAGGGTTTGCCCCCAAATTGAATATATTAATTAGTTTTGAAATGAGTAGTCTAAAACTTGGCAGTTTTGCTCTAAGTCTAACCTTGAATTTTCATATTTGCACACATTTAACACTCAAAACGAAACCTGGGTGTGCGAACTGTCCCACACCACATCCACCTCAATTCAGATGATTTGTCCCAAGTTCAATGAAGCTCATGTGAACTGAAAACAATGACTTTGTCAGAGCTCTGGTCTTACTTCTATTTTACATCAGCCCTTCACATATCAAATATTGATGCTGTTTTTACCATATCAGCAATAATAACAATAATTGATATATACTATGTGCTAAGTACTATTCTAAGACTGGACTTAATAATTCATTTAATCTTTTCAATAACCCCCTCGAGATAAGTACCATCTCCATTTTACTGATGGGGCAACAAAACCCCAGAGATTCCTTGGGGTTTACATCTAGTTAGTAGGGAATATATGAGTTGAACCTAGGTGGTCTGGCTCTAGAGTCTGGGCCCTTAGTCATTATGCTACACTATTCTTTTGTAGACATAATTTGAGTGTTGACTTTTCATAAACAAGTTTGACATATTTTTAAGGTCTGCCATTGGGAAAAGATCTGATACATTTTCTCAATTACGTAACTAATCCAATTTTTTTTTTTTTTTTTTTTTTGCTTTCAAGGATCTGGGTAGAGTGATGGGCTTGAAACACAAAACAAGTTAAGTTACTTCAATAATGCAACAGTCACATAGAGATTTACCTAGGCTAAGAAAACACCAATAAACTAATCTTACTTGTTAGAGCAAACTTCATAACCAAATATCTTCCTTGACCTTATTTCTGATGTTATAACCAAGATAAAAATATTTATACTTGTACTATTTCATTATCTCATCACACTGCTAAATCTTAAAGACAGAAGCATCTAAGAGTGTTCCCAACATAGCTCTTTTTACCAAACAGTCCACTCAAAATCCAAAATCCAAGAAGACAGAGTCTGAGGGACCTGGATTAGGTCACATATCCACCCTCTGGCCAAGAGAGGGCAGGCAACCTAGGCTGACAGTCCTGACATGGCTTCATGCAATGGGAAACAGTTCTCTAAAGGAAAATGGAAATTTTGTTATCAGAAGAAGAAGGGTATGTAGGATTGGCAAAAATAATGGATGTCTTCTACACTGTCATACATTTTCTCCATGTTGCCAAATATAAAAAAAAAAAATTCAATTCTCTTATTTTCTTGTCAACATCCGATGGTGCCAATACTTGCTTGCTTTGGCTGCTGTGAAATCACTCTTCCCATTCTCTCATTCTCCCATTCTCTGCTCTTACTCATCTTCATGGCTTTTTTTTTTTTTTCCTCTTTTTCTTCCTGGTATGTTGTTGGCCTCCTAGATGTCTCACTCTATAGTTACCCATATAAGTTTAGAAAACGTATTACTTCAGGCTACTGCCTATATAATGATGGCTCCCAAATAGGTACTTCCTACCCAAACCTCTCTTGAAAACTTGAGATCTATATATTCAGCTTCTTCTCAGTTTCACTTGGTGGTTCAGTCTCTCACCAGTGCCTAAAAGATAATGTGTTCAAAACCTGAAATCTCCATTTCCCACCCCAAACTTTATCCTATTTTCCTAATTACCATATTCTTTTTTTTAAAGATTTTTTTTTTTTTTATTTGAGACAGAGAGAATGAGAGAGAGAGAGCACATGAGAGGGGGGAGGGTCAGAGGGAGAAGCAGGTTCCCTGCCGAGCAGGGAGCCCGATG